ACTCCCTGGCAGGCTCAGCAGGGCCCAGCCACAACTTCTGCCTGGACACCACGCGTGCTGCAGACGGCGCTCTCTTCCTGCTGCCGGCTCCAGAGGGTGGTGAGGGAGGAGGGCCCTGGACAGTTCTTGGAGACACCGGGGGAGAGGGTGGGGCTGAAGGAGGAAGCCAGACTGCAATAGGAGCCGAGCCGAGCCAGGTGTGCCCATCAGTTCCGAAGCCCACGATGGGTGCAGATTCCACGTGGAAGCGAAGTGGCTCCAAATCTCAGCACTGGGCAGCTGGTGCAGATACGTTTCCAACTCGGAGCAGTCCCTGGCAGCACTGCCACAGAGGATGCCGGCAGCTGAACACGTGTTTCTCGGTTGCAGACACGGGAGCGGAAATCTGCAAGTGTGGTGCCTTTTGCCAGCAGGGGAGCACTTGGGGGAGCCACGGGGGCCCAGGAGCTGCTTGCTGGGCCCCCGCCTGCTGCCTGGCATCACTGGGGAGCACCGCTGGGTTGTTCCTCACAGCCGCTGTTCCTTTGTTTCTCCAAACCCTGCAGCAGTGGCAGGGGCGCCAGGAAGCGGTGGCTCTAGACCAGGCCCGGTGGGCTTCTCGTGAGGGTGCACCATCTCAGGCACCCAGGAGGCTGAGGCAGGAGGATCACTGTGAGTTGGAGCCCACTCAGGGCTACACAGTGAGTTCAAGGCCAGCTTGGACCACATGGTGAGACTGTCTCAAAAAGTAAAAAAAAAGGAGGAGCTCTTCAGACTGAACCAGGGGCTCCTTGTCGGAGGGCCAGCGTTAGACTTCTAGAGGTCTCTGGAGTCAGGAATTGTGTGCTGTATAAACCCAAACATGGCACAAGCACCGGAATTCCTGAAGCTTCCACCTGCCCAGCCCAATGCCTTCCGGCAGGGGGAGGCCCTATCGTTATCTGTCTAGATCACCACTGCCCGGATCCGATCGAAGGCTCTGAGCAGGAACATGTATCTTATTTGTAGGAATAAGGTATCTTTTGTAAAAGAAAAAAAAAAAAAACTCACAGGAAGTCCCTGCAGAACTGCTCCGGTCAGTGACTGGGTTTTCCTCGGTGACGCCCACTGTCGGGAGGGGATGGGGCACAGACTCCGCTGTGAGCCGGGGCTGGGCTTTCACAGATGAGCTGAGCTTGGCCCGGGTGCCTGGGGTGCTGTGCCCCAAGCTGTGCCCTCCTCACACTGCCCTGGGTGGCCGCCCTGCCTCAGCCTGCTCCCCAGCGGCATCCCCTTCTGGCTGCCCAGCCCCAGCCCCACCTCCTCCCTGAATCCCTGCAGACCTACACGGTTACCCAGGTCCGAGCTGTGGCCTCTTCCTGTGCTTGCCCTGTACCCTGGAAGCAGCCCGGCATTAACACCTCTCAGTCACCTGATTTAAGTGCGGCACCTCCTCCCTGCTGAGACCCACAGATGCGGCACGAGAAGCCTGTGTTTGCACTTTCAGACTCACACACGCCCTTACCAACAGTTGCACAGCTCACACATTTGCCCATGCACAGACACGCCCCCTCACACTCTCATGTGCGCACACACTCACACCCATACTTAGAAGGAGGTCACATGCTGCTTAAACTCCTGCTCTCCTTGGGGTGCAGGAGCCTGGCCCTGGCTGGGAGCCCCTTTTCTGAACTTTAGGCACTGCCCCTGCCTCTGGGAGCCTTTTACCTGCATTGCTTCACTGGCAATTCACACCTGTACTTATTTTTAGAAATGCTACACGTGGGCCAGGGAGGTAGCTCAGTGGTGCCATGCCTGCCTTATAAGCGCAAGGTTCTGAGTTCAATTCCCAGTACCGGAAAAAAAAAAAAGAAAGAAATGCTACATGCCGTCCACTACAAATCCCATGACCCCATCAGCTGTGAGTGCTATGTGCTCAGGGAGAGGGGTCATAAAAATAGTAAGTTAGCTGGGCATGGTGGTGCACACCTGTCATCCCAGCACTCGGGAGGCTGAGGCAGGAGGACTGCCACAAGTTCAAGGCTACCCTGGGCTACATAGTGAGTTCCAGACCAGCCTGGACCACACAGGCAGACTTTGTCTCAACAAACAAACAAAACTCCAATACAGTAGTATGGTAGTGTTCCCTGAAATCTTGAGCCATGCACAATAGATCCAGTTGTAAAAGTAAAATGTCTCCACCCAGTTTCAGGTAGGCAGAGTGGAAGCCTTTAGCAGATCATGGGAGTAAAGGTTAATTTAGAGGAGAGGGCAGAGTACTCAGGGTGAGGACTGCAGGGAGACACGTTTGGTCACTGTGAGGTCACCCTGCCCATACCGGAGCTGTCTGCGGGGGACAGGCTGCATGTGAAGTGGTCCATCTGGGGCTGACGTGGGAGCTGGGGCCGCGGGACCTCGGGGCCCACCTGAGACCACAGGTGAGTCTCCTTGGGGAGGGTCTGCTTCCGCCAGGCGCCCCAGGGGCCTTCAGCACCTAGGAGTCTCGACAGTCTCGATTCTGCAGGAAGGAGCTACACGCAGAAGGCGAAGGAGGGAAGCTCTTGGAGCGGAGCTCAGAAGTGATTAGTGATGGAAATGAGGATCTCTTGCTGCCTCTGGATGTCTGAGTTTGCAGATTAAAACGCGGCTGAGTCTTGGCTCAGGGATCCCACTCCCTCCACAGCCCACGGCAGCACCACCGTGGGACGTGGGAAGCCTAGGCTCTGTGGGGGAGGGTGGTGAATGCAGGGGAGAGGCAAGCAGGGCCTGCAGTGCCTGCTGGTCCTCCAGCCTGCCCCCCCCGGAAGTCAGGTTCTGTCTCTAAGAGGGGCTGAAGTTCCAGCTGCACAGAACGTTTTTCTGAGCTCAGTGTGAGTGTCTGGCCTTCCAAGCTGGGTGGAGACACCAAGAAAACATCTGCACCCCATCTTCCATGTTCACAGACCTGGGGGAGCTGGTTTACCCCCAGGCACCCCATTTCTCATCTGTAAGGTGGGGGGACTCTGGTGCCCAGACCGATGGGTGGGTGAGGAACACTTAGCCGGAGCACCCAGAATGCTTTGCTCACAGGGCACCTGGCATCATTCTTACCCATCCGAAGCTTCTCGAGGTCTAGAAGCAGTATAAGATCGCCGTAACACAGACTTCACACTGTATGCTGCGTCTGCTTTGTAGTCCCTTTCTCTCTCTCTTGTTTGCTTTTGAGACAGGGTCTCAGGATGGCCTTGAACTCCCTGCATAGCCCAGGCTGGCCTGGAACTGATGGGGACACTCCTGCCTCAGCCTCTCCAGTGCTGAGATCACAAGCATGTGCCACTGGGCCAGGCCTCTTTCATCAGCACGGGCAGGCAGCCCAGCCTCGGGAGGTAGGAGGTGGCATGCAGGGGAGGGTGGGCGCCCGGGGGAGAGACTTGGGGAGCGTCCCTGCTCACTGGATCTCAGGTGTCTGGTCTGTGTTACCCGCGGGCCTCTGGGAACTCGTCCAGGCTCTCCTTCAACTGGGTACCTTTGTGCCTTGGCTCGGGGCGTGGGCCAGGGAAAGGCAGTCATGTGGGGTGCTGAGGGGGTCCCGGGGTCACGCTGCCGCCGCCCAGGGTAATGGAGAACGAGAGCTGAAGGGCGCCCTGCTGTGCCTGGGGCAGAGGGCCAGGTGGGCGTGGAAATCAGAGACAAAGGGCTCCGCAGCGACTCTGCTGCTGGGCAAAAATCACTATGCTGAAGCAGTGGACACCGTGCCGGGGGCCTCGCAAGAGCTTCGGCCTCCAAAAGCCAAAGAGTGGAGTGGAGGAGGGAGAATTCCTGGGTACGAGGATGAGCACTTCCGCTCCAGATGATGGAACTGATTAATATGCTGCTATTCCCAGCCTCCATACAAGTATCCTTTGTATTGATCTCAGCATGATGTACTGACTGGAGAAATATGCCGATTTCTGCCAGAGAGCCGAACAGTATTTTTAACCTACTTTAAAATATGTGTTGTTTCCTATGGTTTTTAAAACTCTGGAGTTGATTATGAAAGCAATTTCAATTTTTAAAACTTATTTCCAAAGAACATACATAACGTATATATACATATATATATATATATATATACACATATATATCTTAAAGAACTATTAAATATAAAGTTTAATGGGGTGGGTAACTATAAAGTTTATAAATTAAGGTAAAAAAAGCATGTTTTTTCTTGGCATATGTATGTCATTATATTGGAGACTACTACTACCATAAAGGAAATTTGAATTTTTTTTGTTTGTTGTTTGTTTTTTGAAGAAGGGCCTCACTGTGCAGTTCAGGCTGGCCTTGAATTGCACAGTGTGGCCCAGGCTGGTCTCCAGTTTGCAGCGATCCTCCTGCCTTAGCCTCCTAAATGCTGGGATGACAGGCGTGCTCAACACACCCACCCGGCTAACAAAGGAAATTTGAGTTAAGGATTCTTTGATATCACAAACATATTCTTATGGGTATTTCTCCTGCTCATGATCTATTTAGACTATTCAGCCTCCCGGAGTGTCCACGGGGTACTTGCCAGGGTCCTGCCAGGAATGCACTGGTGGGACAAGGCAGCACCGTGTCCACTTCACAGCCGGGGACAGCAGGAGTGTCCACAGGGCTTCAGCTACTCTGAACAGTTTATCCTGTGTTCCCCTTGCCTTGTCTTCCAAATGGAAAAAACCAGAAAGGTCCCGAAGCCCAAGGTCCGTGGGAAGGTGAGGGAGAGCATTTAAAGCCCGGTTCCGTTCTCCTTTGCAAAGACGTGGCAGAAGAACGGACAGTCCTTGTCATTGTCACTGGGGACTCACGACACTTTCTGGTTTTGGACAGAGAGGCCAAACCACAGCTTGTAAGACGATCCCAGCCCAGCGGCAGCCTTCACCTTGGGGCGCAGCTCGGGAGCCGGGACGGCAGAGCCGGAGCAGGCCCAGGGACGGGAGCCAGCACCCTGAGCGGCTGCCCTCCTCGCCTGTTCCGTCCTGGGCGCTGACTCAGGCCTGCAGGGAGGGGCGCCGGGCCCTGACACCGGCCTCGCCCACCCCGGGTACCTGAAGTTGTATCCGGGGGAGACGCTGTTCTTCTCGGAGACCCCGTCCAGCCGGGTGAAGGAGTACTTAGGGATGCACTGCTCCTCGGCCTTGTCCAGGTCGCACACCCAGCCGATCTTAATGCCCAGAACTCCGCCCTGAGGACGGGAAGGGGTCAGTGTGGCCCGGGCCAGGAGGCGCTTCGTGGCCAGGGTCTGGTCCCCCTTCTGGGCCGGGGCTGAGGCTCACCGTGCTAGCCAGCTTGGCGAAATCCTGCCCCGCAAACCTGACCACGTCCCCCACACGCAGGATGGGGCAGAACGGGGCCCTGTCGGGGTGGAAGCGGCAGGTCTTCATGTCGCTGGCAGTCAGGTCGGGCGGGAGGTTGCCTCTGGGAGGAGGAGCGGCATTAGGGCGGGGGGGCTAGCAGCGGCTCCCAGCCAGGTGGGGACAGTGGGCGTCACCCCGCCCACTTGCACCCACCCCCTTCCGGCACGTGCGGGCTCCTCGAGTCCCTGTCTGATGCCTCTCGGAGAGGGAAGGGGCCCCCGCCCACACTGCCCGGCCACTGCTAAGTGAGCCCACAGAGGGGCACCGGAAGAGAGAAGGGCAGGCACGTGGGGCATGGGCGGCCTGGACTCACTTCTCGAAGTTGAAGAGCGGGAACCGGATGCTGTTCTTGATGAAGATGGTGAAGTTCTCGGCTTCCATCATGACGGGCCTGCGGGACAGGGGGCCTCAGCCTTGGGAGGGCGGGGGGCGGCGGCCCTGGGAGCCCAGGCACTCGGGGTGCAGGGAACTGGTTGCACACCTCTCCACCGTGTCCACCTCTGTGGGGCACCAGCCCCGGACCTCGCAGGAGCGCAGCTCGGAGCTGAGGTTCACGCAGCGGCCGGTGAGGATGCCTGCAGAGGGGACGCCAGGGTCAGGTGCCTCATGGCCGCTGCCCTTCGCCTTCATGTCTCCCTCTGCCCCAGGGACCTGGGCTGCTCCCACCATCCACCGAGTCCGGGTCTCCAGGCCCGGCGTGAATGCCACCCCTCCAGGAGGCCATCGGCCACGTCTCCGTGTCCACACTGCTGCCTTCCTGGACCTCACACCGTCTGTCCCCCACCCCTGCACTTCAAGTGTGCTGCGCTTGGCCCAGCCGCCTCAGAAGCCTCCAGGCCTGGCACCTCTACAGACGTGGGCAGAACTGCAGAGCGGGGTCCCGGCCCCGAGGGCGGCTCCCCCAGGGGCTACTGCCCTGGGGCCACACTCACCCCCACTGGCGAAGCGCCCCGGCCGGCACTGGCTGTCAGTCGCGCAGTGGAACTTCTCTTCACTCTGTGGGGGATGGGGCAGGGCGGCCCGTGAGGGAACCTGGGCCTCAGAGCCTGGGCCTCAGGGCGGAGGCCAGGGAGGACTCTGTGCTCACCCCGCCCGGCCTGCCTGCCGCACCTCTGGGCAGAAGCCCTGCATCTGGTTCTCAGTGACGATCATCTTGGTGATGATGACGAAGACAGAGGTGCCCTGGGGGAGAAGGGAGGAAGCTGGGCACCTCTCCCTCGGAGGCAAAGGTTACCACCCCTCCACACAGGGGCACCGAGGGCGGGGTGTGGCCAGGCCTTTCGGTGTGGGTCCTGGTCTCAGTCCTGGCCCTGGCAGTGGAGGGGACACAGCCCACCCCACCCCAGATGCGAGCGTCGGTACCTGGGGTGGGGTGACGTAGTCGGACACGTCCATGACTCGGTTGGCATAGTGGCCGAACCCCTTCACCTTGGTCACTACCGAGGACTCGATGGCTGTGTCGCGCACTTGGTACGCCTTCTCGTGCAGGAAAACCCACCTGGGCCGGAAAGACAGGAGAGGGCGCCAACTCAGCCTACCCAGCTGGTCCTGCTCTGTCCTGCCCACCTAGGACCAAGGGCCCTGCCTGCTGGCAGAGGTCGGGCCAGGCCGAACCTGGTGGGCTCAGGGTTCTCCACTGTCTCCCCGTCACTGCCACCCGAAGACTCTCTGGACTTTCTGCCTAATTGCCCCTCCCCACGGAACTTGAATACCACAGGCGGCAGCTCAGGTGCCACATGCATGTTTGTGCTTTCTACGAGGTATGATCAAAAGGTATGTTGAATGTTTAAATTTTTATGTCACTGCATTTCTGAGCCAGGGTCTCACTGCGTAGCTTGGGGGCGGGCCTCTAACTCACGGGGATCCTCCTGCCTCGGCCTCCCTCCCCGGTGCTGGGCTGACGCGCACCACGCCCAGCAAGATTTTTAAGTCTATGACAGTAAAAGATATATCGGCAGGAAGCCGCCTCGAAATCCTCCCCTTCCTCCCAACACTCATCCCGCCGTCCTCGTCCTCTCCGCTTGCTTCCCGAGGAGCTCTGGAGTCCTCTCCTCAGGGCCTTCGGCGGCGCTGTCTGGCGCCCTCGGGGCCCCGAGTGACCCCCACACCGGAGCTTTCCCGGTCACTTTGACCTTGGGGAGGAGCCGCTGGTGACTGGGGAGGGTGAGGCCGCAGCGCAGGGCTTTGCGGGACGCGCTGGGCAGCAGCCTCCCGCCTTTCTTTGGCCCACTGCCCTTGGGCTCCCGCCCCTCTCGGTTCGGGCCGAGGTCCCTCGGGGCAGCCTCGGGGCACCGAGCGCGCAGGGGCGCCCGCCGTCATTGCCGGGGCTGTGCTGCCCCCTGGCGGCCGTGGCCGGGACGGCGTCCCCGGGTCCCCCAGCCCTCTGCGCGACCTGTCCGGGACCTGCCCTTCGTCCCCGGCGTCACGGGCCACGGGCAGGTGGGCGCTCCGCCAGGCCGACTACAAGGCGCCTTGTGCGGTTTTCAGCGAGCGGGTTGGGAGTAATCCCTAGAAGGAAGCTTCCCGCATTCGAGTTCTTTTATCTTTCTTTCCCTTAATTTTCAGCCGGATGTGGTGGCGCACACCTGTGACCCCAGCACTCAGGAGGCTGAGGCAGGAGGATCACTGCCACTTTGAAACCAACCTGGGCTACGTAGTGACACCCTGTCTCCAAAACAAAAACTATTTAAATGTTCAAGTTATCATTATTACTTTATTATTATTTTTGCAGTACTGGGGACTGACCCCAGGACCTTCACACTGAGCTACATCCCTAGCCCTTTTTTATTTTGAGACAGGGTCTCACTAAGTCCCTAAATCATCCAGGCTGGGCTCATACTTCTGACCTGCCTGCCTCAGCCTCCCAGAGTGCTGGGATTACCAGCATGTGCCACCACACCCAGCAAACTCTTGTACTTTTGGCTGAGCAGCAGGAGTGGTATATTGTATTGATTTGTGCACACAGGGTAGGATGATTGTATCAGGCTCTTAACACATCCGAGTCTCTCCTATTATCATCTACTTATCCTACTCCCAGGCGCCCCTCCCCTGATAAAATGCTCCTCGGCTGGGAAAGGGCCTGGCTCTGGCAGACAAGCCGGTACCTGCTCGATTGCTGCCGCCCTTAGGCAGAGAGCAGTGGGATTAATGCACCATTAAGAGTTACTCGGCTAGTAAAGGCTCTCAGGAGCCCTGGCTCTGGAGGCCTGGACGCTGCTCCACATCCCTCACACTTTTCTTCCTCTTGGGAGAGGGGAGCTCCAGCTCGCTGTGTTAGGGCTGAAGAGCCTGGAGCACCCCACTACAGGAGATGAGAAGTCGCCAGGCGCTGCCGGGTCATGGCCCGACTCTGTGGATCTGGGAGTGGCGGCCGGAGAGGGGACAGGACCCTGGCGCTGACCCAGCAGCATCCCCAGGCCCCGCCCCCCCTGAGGCCCAGAGTGTTCCATTATTAGCGGGGCACGGCCAGCACGGCTCCATGCATCCCCACCGGCCACAGAGCTTTGGTGACAGATGTGAAAACTGAGGCACAGTGGGCGGGCCCACTCGCTCCCGCCATGAAGCCGCTGGGCGGATTCCCAACCGGGCCACTTGGGGCCCGCCTCGGTTCAGGGCCTCAGGCTGGGCCCATCAGGGCCCGAGGTGCTTGTCCTGGGTGCTGGTCCCTCTTCGGGCGGGACAATAGCAGGAAGAGGGACCTCGAGGGGACAACTGGCCAAGCCTCCGCCTCCGCCTCCTCCTTTTCCTCCTCCTCCGAGCCCTGGAGGACAGAATTCTCTCCCGGAATTCTCTCTCGAGCTCTCTGAGTTAAGTAAGGAGCAAGGATCGCAGGGCCCCTGGGGATTTCGGGTGCCAGCTCCAGAGCCGGGCGTTTCCCTGCAGGCCGAGGTGGAGGTGGGGCGGGGTGAGAGCCTGCTTCTCGGCACTGCGGCTGGCTCCGTCCTCCCTCGCGCTCCTGGCTCATTATTTATAGAGCGGAGCGGGAGGCAGCGCGGCAGGTGGGAGGTGTGGAAAGCGCCCGGAAGTGGGTGAGGGTGCGCGCTCCGCGTGTCCAGGAGAGGGCAGGCCGGGACTGGCGACGGCCCCCATCTGAGACCCAGACCCCGGGTCTCCCTGAGCCCTCTTTCCGGACAGGGGTTGCTGGCCAGATGCTGAGTTTGTGTCTGGCCACTGTGTTGGGAAGAGGTGAAGGAGGGTGGAGACTGCCAGCCGTCTGGGTCCTTCTCAGGCATGGGCACCAAGCACTTGAACTTGCAGTTCTCCTGCCTCAGCCTCCCAGCGCGCTGGGATTCCAAGTGTGCGGCACCATGTCTGGCTCAAGGATGAAGTTCACCTTAACACCACGGCATTAAAACCCTTACTGGTTCAATCGGAGCCTGGCGTCTCTCTCCGCCTGCTGTTTCTCCTGTTCTGGGCTCACCATCCGCTCCTACTGCCTGCAGTCCCGGCCGATATCCCAGCTCAGACTCCACACGCCTGTCTTCCTCACCTCGGCCACACGCACGCACGCACGCACACGCATTAAAATGCTTTCGCAGAGGCCTCATTGTGCTCTTGTGAAAGTGCAGCTCCCCACAGCCGAGTGAGGCCCAGGCTCTGTGTCCCCAGCACCTGCACTGCTGTCCCCTCCCTCCATCCCTGCTCCTCCGAAATCCACTCTTTCTCGCCCGGCCCGTGCAGACAGCCTTCTGTACCTCGACTCCCCCTTGCTGCTCCTGGCCCCCTGTCCCCGGCGGCCTCCCCTGGACCCTGTGGAGGCCCAACCCTCCCGGTAGCGGCTGTCCTAGTCCCGCTCTGTGCTCTCACATCTGCTCGCGGGGATCCGGGTCCCTTGTCCACCACTGCCTCACCAGTCTGAAGCTCACCGTCCAAGCCTCTGTCTGCTCCTTTTTTTTTTTTTTTTGGTACCAGGGATCGAACTCGGGTCCTTGTGCTTGCAAGGCAAGCAACGGAACCACTGAGCTAAATCCCTGGCCCAACCCCTGTCTGCTCTTGTCCCTGCCCTATCCTCGGTCCCTCAGGCTCTGCTCTGTCCACGACAGCGAGTCCCGGAGGCCGCGGGGCAGCGAGTGTAAGGCCTGATCCGCAGGGAGCTGTCGGGCTGACACAAGGGATGGGGCTGCAGAGCAAGGCGCCCAGGAGCCTGGTAGGCGCCCCCCGCGGCCCGGCCCAGCCCAGCCCCCGCCCCAGGAGGCCGTCTGAGCACCACGGGGAGGGGGCTGGGCTGGGTGTAGGAGCCAGCTGGCTGCGGGTCAATCGACTGCAGCTGGGGATGCGCTGAGGCAGGGCCTGCGGTCACCTGGACGCCCGGCGGCGGGTGTTCACACACAGCAGGCAGGGACCCTGAGAAGCAGCTGCAGCTGCAGCCCTGGGATGTGGACCCAGGGCGTCGCCAGTGCCTTCTCACCAAGCCAAGGCAGCGTCAAAGCCACGGCTCCAACCCCAAGCTCCAGCCCCACACGAGACCCGGCCACCAAAGCTTGCCAAACACGGGAAGCAAGAGAGGCCGACACACTCACTCCTGCCCAGCTGCTCATGCTCACGCGCTCCCGTGTGACTCTTCTGGCCACCCAGCCGGCTCACACGCGGTCCTGTGCTCGTGGGTGTCGCCTCCGCCGCTGGGCCTGATGCAGGCCCGAGTCAGTGGTTGCTGTCTGGCACAGGGCCATTGTCTCCGAGAGTGGCAGAGACTGGGACCGGCTGGGGAGGAACCAGAGGTCCCACCGCATGTCCTGGTGCCCGGTGGTGCACAGCAGGCAATGACCAGAGAGGCCAGAGCGGGCACCTGACCCGCCACTGTCTGCTCCCCGCCTTTGTGTGTCCCCGTGTGCGGGTGTCTGCTCCCAAATCGGGGCGGGTGGGTGGGGTGCTGGGACCTGGGACCTTGCTGGCCCTGAAGCCACTGCCCAGTGGGGTTCGTGGCTCGGAGGCGGGGAGCGGGAGGGAATTCACGCCACATCTCGGGCTTCTTGGGGAGGGCCCCACACGGTGCTCCCGAAGGCTACTCTTCTCTGCAGCAAGTCTTCCCTGGAGCATTATTTGCACCTTTCTGTCTCCCGAGCTCAGGGAGCAGTCCCGCCCTTTGTCCTCCCTCAGAGATCAGCATCTGGTCTTTCTGAGCTTGAGGAGCTCCTCACACTAAGCCTTTCCCCAGCCAGCCCTCCTTCCACCCGAATCAGCCTGGTCACATCTCCCTGGTGCTGCGCCTCCCTTCCCCTCTTCCTGGTCGCCCTGGTCTCCCTGACAGCACCCAAAGTTGACCGAGGGCAGTGGGCAGCGCTGGGGAGGGGTCACTTCTCTTCTGGTTGGGGGGACAGACCACCCGGGACCGCTGCCGGTGAGCAGCACCGGAGCGAGGGCCCCACTCCTGGGTTCTAGGAGCTGCTCTCCAACTCTGGAGGCTGGGGAAAGATCCATCTGAACACAGGACCTGGGCGGGGTGGCCGAGGTCGGTCCTTAGTTCTCAGCTCTCCGGGAGGAAGTGCTTCCCACCAGAGAGAAGCCTGGGAAGCCGGACGAAGGACCAGGAGGATGGGGGCAGGACCCCAGGCAGCTGCCCGTCCTGGGCCCGAGGGACACGCACGCACTCACCCCACGAAGTACGAGATGATCAGAAGCTGGACGGCCCGGTTGATGACCCCGATGGTCCAGCTCTTCACCACCACCGACTTGGTGGTCTCGTAGGTGAAGAAGTCTGAGATGCAGTTCATGCTGCCACAGGGCTGGGGACACCCGGAGGGGCCCGACAGCAGCCTCGGGAGGGATGGGGACACGGACGGGAGTCTGGAGGGTCGGCCAGGCACCCCAGCCCAGTGCCAGGCTCGCTCTGCTCTTGACACTCAGCCTGCCAAGAGTACGAGGCCAGGGCGGGGGACCCCCTTTTTATTAGTCTCCACCCCCCCGCAGTGATGTCACAGCGGGGTGGGGTCTCCAGCGCTGGGCTCCTGATTGCCTGCCTGCAGCTGGTGAGGGCCCTTGGGACTCATGCTTTATCTGTCTCCCGCCGCTGCTCCCTGCTCTTCGGCTACATCCTTGTCCCAGCTCGCCAGCTGCCTCAGGGGCTCCCCAAAGTCCCGGAGATGCCCACCCTCCCGTCACCTGGCACCTTCGGAGCTGAGCCAAGCACCTCCACTCCTGAGGCTGCCTAACTCCATCCAACTCTGCAGCCAGCCCCTCATTTGCTGGTTGCCTCCACACAGCAAGAGTGGGGGTCCGCTTGGACACTTCTCTGGGTGTCTGGAGAAGGGATGAGTAGAGTCACCTATCTCTAACCCCAGCTGGCAAGGGCTGCCTCTGGCATGATAGCAGTTTCCTTTCTCACCGTCAGGCTACTTATCCAAACCTTTAGTCAGGCTGTGGGCCCTGGAAGGCTGGGGCTGTTTGTATCGTGCACTCAAAGCCTGGAAGCGCGCTGGATTTGTAATGAGCCTACATTGCATACGCACTAAGTCTAACTGAATTTATAATGCGAGGCAGAGCTAGCTAGGGGACCATTTAACCCAGGGGTTAAAGCCGCGCGTTTCGGGACAGTGGGGCTTTTTTGTCGTCTGCTGCCCTGGAGCTGGGTTAGCACGCTGTGGTCAGGACTGCGTGGGAAATGTGGGGTTTAAATATTGTCTTTACACAGCACACATACTACCCATCACCCCGGACAGAGCCGTTGAGACCATGCTGGAAGAGAACCGGCCTGGTTTTCGGAGACTGGGCTCCAGTCTCCGGCTTCGTGGCCAGCCCCCCCCCCACCCCGAGGCCCGGGAAACTCCCGTCTCCTCATCCGCACAAAGCGACGGGCCGGTCGGCGTCTCTTACAGGCCCTGCCACTCCGGGGTAGCCCGGCTTCCGCTGCCCCTGCTGCCCTGGCCGAGCAGCTCCAGGTCGGTTCCGGCTCGAGGTAAACCCGACACAGCACTCGCCGGCCCTGGGCTCCGGCGGGGGCCCGGCCTCGGGGCTGGGGCTGCAACCCCGACTTTCCTCGCCTGGCAGGCGGGCTCTCCCGCACGCGCACAAACCGTGCAGCAGGAGGGACGCACGTCCTCCTCCCAGCACACACCCAGCCCTGTGGAAAGCCTCAGAAAGCACACGACTCCCCCTTAGAATCTAGTCACCCCTGGCCCAAGGACCTGCAACCCCCAACTACGGAGCTTTCCACGTCCCCATTTGCGAGTCAGTAGGCATCGGAACGGGATTAAGACTCCCTCAAGTCATCCAGCGTCGCCGACGCTCTGCTCGCCGGTCTCGTCGGCCGGCCCGGCTCGCGCCCTTCTATCCGGTCTTCCTCTCGATGGTCCGGGAGCGACTTCCGGTGGCGGGACTCGGGGCCGCGCACGCGGGAAAAGCTCCCCTGGCGTCCCCCGCCCCCTCCCTCGCGTTCCCCTCTCGCCCACCGCCCACCCGGGGCCGTCGCGAGGCTGCCGCTGGAAGAGGTGAGTGGTCGGGATCCCGGGTCCCCAGGCGGGCGCGGACCCCGCTCCCCCGCGGGATGCTCACGATGGGCCGTTCCGCGTTCAAATCCGCGGGCGGCGGGCGAGACCATCCCAGGAGGAGGGTAGCAGCGCGGGTACGGGCCGCGGAGCGTGGGAGCTGGGGAGGGGCCCTGCACGCCGCGCCGATCTGGGGTGCAGGGCACGGCTGCTCCTGCGGGGTCCCCAGGGTGCACCCTAGGGTGTCGGGTTGGGGTGTCAGCGGCCCAGCCGGGTCCGGCTGCGGCATCCCCGACCTCGCCTGCAGCTCCCGGCGGAGCGGGGCCCCGGACATGCCCCGCGCAGCTGTGGTCGGCGCTCGGCACCCGGCCGGGCCGCCATCGCAGCGAGGCGGCGGTGCCTTGCATGTCCGTCTTCCCCCTCCTGAACCCAGATCCCCGGACCCCTGAGTTTCTGCACCCCTGTCCAGGAGCTAGAGCCTGGCTCCCGGCCACCCCGGGGAGGTCAGCATGGCAGAGACGCTGGAGTTCAACGACATCTACCAGGAGGTGAAAGGCTCCATGGTGAGCCGGGTTTGGGCTGGGGGGCCAGAGTTTGTCCTGGCAGCAACTTAACTTTGATGATGCTGCAACTTACAGACTCGAGATACTTATGATGTATCTGGCGTTTCCCCCAACAATGGGGGCAGTGACCAAGTCCCAGGGGTTACAGGAGTTTGGAGGGATTGTGCATGCTCTTTGACTCCAGTCCGTGTTGCTAACAAGATTGCGGGTCTGTTAGGCTTCCGGATGCAGGAGCAGGCACAGTCCAGGTTTCCTGGGCACTTGTTGATTTTTACTGTCCTCACCCTCAGAGCGGTTGCTGTCCTGCTCTGATGAGCTGGCAGCCAGGAGGGGTGTGGGATAGACCTGGGCCCAGTGCGGCCTGCGTACCGTGCTTCTGCATCCAGGCCAACTCTCCTGGCAGAATGATGGTCGCCTAAGGCTGAGCCGCCAGGGGATCATCTTCAAGAACAGCAAGACGGGCAAAGTGGACAATGTCCAGGCCGGGGAGCTGACTGAGGGCATCTGGCGACGGGTAGCTCTGGGCCACGGACTGAAACTGCTCACGAAGAATGGCCATGTCTACAAGTATGACGGGTTCCGGGAATCGGTGAGGCACCCTGTTGCACAGACCCCCTTTTAGTGGGCCATCGCCGTTATTTTTAAGCTTCTAGAGAGTTGGGGTTCCTTCTAATACCCATGTCACTGTTAGTTCATGCTCTATAAAACACAGCTCTTGAGGCCACTGCACAGCGCGTGTTGTGCTTTGAGGGGAGAAGTCTTGTGTGTTCGAGTTTTGACTCTAGACTTTCTACTGTCTTAATTTAGATAGTACTGGTTACTTTCAGCTAGGTTTAGAATCTTACACCAGGTGTGGTGGCACAGGTCTGTAATCCCAGCATTCTGGGAGGGCCTGGCAGGAGGATTGCAAGTTTGAGCCCAGCCTGGGTAACTTAGTGACTAGTAAGATCCTGTCTTAAAATGAAAAAGAAAATGAGCTGGGGATGGAACTCAGTGTGAAAGCCCTGGGTTCAATCCCCAGTACTACCCAGTAGGAAAGAAAAGAGAAACTTAGCTTGATGTTCTAGCTTCGGTTTTCAGTTTCAGTTAGACTTGTTTTAATTTCCACTTTCGTTGAAGCAGTATCCACACAAAGTTTAAAAAAAATCAGCTAGCACGGTGAGAGCCATATCCGGGAGTATCAGTTTCTTCCTTTACTCCTCCGCTAGCCTAAGGTCTGCTTCCTAGAAACCTCTTTTTGTAACCTTTTAAGCACCCTCAGAACCAAGATGCTAAGTCAGTGTGCATTTGGGGCCCTTTTTCTGAGAGGTGATTCCAGGATGCGGAAATTGTGTGGAGGCTGCCAGAGTTACGGGTACTGCGCTCGCTCTCTTCCACTGCAGGAGTTTGAGAAACTCTCCGATTTCTTCAAAACCCACTACCGCCTGGAACTCATGGAGAAGGACCTGTGTGTGAAGGGTTGGAACTGGGGCACAGTGAAGTTTGGGGGTAAGCCCTGGGGCAGATGCTTGGGGGGAGAGTCTCGCGCCCTTCCCTCAACTGCTGTCTGAGTGGCTCCCAGATGCGTGTTTTTTGTGTATTTATTGCGCACCTTCGGTGAGGTGGTCTTGGGGGTGCAGTGGGAATGAAACGGCCTCAGTGCCTGGTCCTCGGGAGCCTTTAGGCTCCCAGTGGTCAGGCCGGATGGGCCCTGTGCTCCTCACAGGGCAGCTGCTCTCCTTCGACATCGGTGAGCAGCCCGTCTTCGAGATCCCCCTCAGCAACGTGTCCCAGTGCACCACAGGCAAGAACGAGGTGACGCTGGAGTTTCACCAGAATGATGACGCAGAGGTCTCCCTCATGGAGGTGCGGTTCTACGTGCCTCCCACGCAGGAGGATGGCATAGACCCTGTCGAGGTGAGGCCTTCGCTGGCTGCCTTGGGAACGGATGCAGCCGAGCAGGCCTCGGCTGGCCCGATGACCTGCCTGTGTCTTGCAGGCCTTCGCCCAGAATGTGCTGTCGAAGGCGGATGTCATCCAGGCCACCGGAGACGCCATCTGCATCTTCCGGGAGCTGCAGTGCCTGACCCCGCGTGGCCGCTATGACATCCGCATCTACCCCACCTTCCTGCACCTGCACGGCAAGACCTTTGACTACAAGATCCCCTACACCACGGTGCTGCGCCTCTTCCTGCTGCCCCACAAGGACCAGCGCCAGATGTTCTTCGTGGTGAGCAGAAACCCCGGGGTGGGGCTGAGCTGGTTTTGGCTGAGTCTGCAGCAGCCGATCTCGCTGGCATTTGGGGGGGTTCTGAGTCCTGAGCTCCTTGCAAGCATCAGCCGGCTTAACTTTGCCTCTCTTCCTCACCAGATCAGCCTGGACCCCCCGATCAAGCAGGGCCAGACCCGGTACCACTTCCTCATCCTCCTCTTCTCCAAGGACGAGGACATCTCCTTGACCCTCAACATGAATGAGTGAGTGTGGCCTGGAAGTGTTTCCTGCTGCCTTTCGGGGAGGGCGGAATCCGCAGCCTCACCTTGCTCTGTCCGCAGGGAGGAGGTGGAGAAGCGCTTTGAGGGGCGGCTCACCAAGAACATGTCTGGCTCGCTCTACGAGATGGTTAGTCGGGTCATGAAAGCCCTTGTGAACCGCAAGATCACGGTCCCTGGCAACTTCCAAGGGTGAGCTGGGGCTGGGCTCCCGCACCTGCTGGCCCTGCTGCTGGGCTGTGCAGCCACTCACAGGCGCCTACACCCGCAGGCACTCGGGGGCCCAGTGCATCACCTGCTCCTACAAGGCCAGCTCGGGGCTGCTGTACCCCCTGGAGCGGGGCTTCATCTACGTGCATAAGCCCCCAGTGCACATCCGCTTCGACGAGATTGCCTTCGTCAACTTCGCCCGCGGCACCACCACCACCCGCTCCTTTGACTTCGAGATCGAGACCAAGCAAGGCACGCAGTACACCTTCAGCAGCATTGAGAGGTGGGGGCTCCCTCGTCCCCCCAGGCCCCCCATCCTGACCCTTCGAGGGAGCCTGGCCTGGCAGGGGTTGTGGCTTTGCAGGCTTTGAATGGAGCAGAAACTTCTTTGGCTTCACTGGGATCCGGTTAGAAAAGTTCTTTTTTGTGCTACTGGGGGTCGAACCCAGGGCCTTTGGACTGAGTTGCCTCTCCAGTGTCCTCTTTTTGTTTTGAGATGGTCTTGCTAAGTTGCCCGGGGCGGGCCTTAAAGTTCTGATCCTCCTGCCTCAGCCTTGCAGAGTGCTGGGGTTCCAGGCGTGCACCACCACGCCTAGCTAGAAGTTATTTTCTGCATCATGAAAGGGTTTGGAATGAGCTGTTTTTCTTCTCCACTCCCCCTGAGTGGAAATGCTCTCTTTCTCGGCACCGCAGCTAACACTTATTGAGCGGCCTTCGCCGGCTGCACTTGATGGGCATCTTCATGTTGAACTGCACTAACACACATCAGTACAAGACGAGGACACCCCGCCCCAGCGCACCCCTGTTCTGGGCGTTGTTGGGGAGTAGGTGACCCTCACTTCCTGTCCCGAGCTCTTTGGGGCTGGGCAGGTCCTCGGTGCCACCCTGGGGTTCTCTGAGCTCGGGCTCGGGTGTGCACCCCAGAACCGGCCCACACCTGACCTGGGGGCACTGTCTCTCCCACAGGGAGGAGTACGGGAAGCTGTTCGATTTCGTCAATGCGAAGAAGCTCAACATCAAGAACCGCGGCCTGAAAGAGGTATTGGGGCTGGGTGAGCGCTCCTGAGCCTTCTGTAGGGGAGAAGGGAGCGGGGCTCCGGCTGTTTTTCACTCTCTCTTCTCTTCTTACCCTTATAGAAAAAAGAGGTGCGTGTGACCCTCTCCCCTCTCGGTGCAGGTTTCTCCGCATGGCCTTAGATCAGGCTCCGCAGCCCTCCAGCCCCGAGGGCCTGGGAGTGGGAGGGGCTTGGGCTGACCCGTGTGTGAGGGCTGGGGCATCCGGCCGGCGGTGTGGACAGCTTGGCCCTGGGCCCCGGGCACTGCTGCTCGGAGCCCGCAGGCATGGCGGTGCTTCTGCGTGCAGGGGTCGGGCCGGGCGCCCCCTCACCCCGTCTCCCCTGGCCAGGGCATGAACCCAAGCTACGACGAGTATGCCGACTCCGACGAGGACCAGCACGATGCCTACCTGGAGCGCATGAAGGAGGAGGGCAAGATCCGGGAGGAGAACGCCAACGACAGCAGCGAGGACT